GAACCGACACACAAAGTTAGCGCTTTTTAAAATAGAAAGATTGATTTGGTGGGATAGTGAGCAGTTCTTAAGCCTTCAGCCATGTTCAGGCCTTTGAAAACGACGTGAAGATCGAAACATTGGCTAAAATCAAGTTTCCACTCACAAAATTCGGGACAGAGGCATAAAGAACACAATAACAACGAACCATGCTGAGGTTCTGAGATAGAGCTTTCGCATCGATGAGTTTTCCTCGCCCTTTATAAGATGTGATAGTTGTCTTCAGAATAACTAGCCAGTCGCAGTGGTGCACTTACATTGTCACTAGTCCCAACTGTCATTCATCACCTATCAGCTATCACTATAAACTATTATATTGATTGCCAATCATTTGCGTTGCGGATTCTGTAGTGCAGAGTTTCCTAGCTGCAGTAGCGGCCAAAACCCAATTGGTGACCGGTTTTTTGAGGTCTTCTCTTGAAACCATTGAATCGTCCCCAACTTGTTGTTATTGTTTATTATCGGTAACTAATGCACAACAATACATCAACCTCTAATCAACACAAATGTCCGATAACGGGTGAAGAAAACAAACGAAAAAAGAAAACCATTGCATCACTCATTATTAGTCATTATAATGCTGAGGATGGAAGCAGAAGATTCGAACGAGAAAGTGGGAATTGTGGTGGTGAAGAGCAGTGGCCCGCCAACACTGCAAGTCGCACCAGACAACAAACGACTCCGGATACCATCTTAGTAGGTCCGCCAACACCACCAAGGCCCAACAGTCAGCGTTCTGGGGGGTGGATGACTCAATCTAACTGAGAAGTCACGCAAAATCTTAGCAGGTATAATCCAAGCGAACTGTCATAACTAGAATGAGGTAAAAGAACATTCAACTAGAAGCTACACAACTGAATGAAACAGAGATACAAATGAATACGACAAGAAATCGCTTCTGAACCTTCAAGATATCAAACCTCAGTTGCTGTTCTTATCTCGTATCTGTTATAAGTACCGTATTATCTCAAATAGCTGTGAAGAAGTCAGAACCATCCTTGAGCGATCAAAATTTTCTTTAGCTTCCTTCGAAACGAACTGACAGAGCTGGAATTGACCACAGAGGGGGGCAAATCATTCCAGATAGAAATAACCCTTTGGGTGAAGGAATTTCGGAATTCTGTCGATCTCGTTTTTTCTCTTAGCATCCTAAAGTTATGACCGCGTGTACGTCCAATAGTTATCGATCTACTGAAAAGCTCAGTATTTCTTCTTTTTCCTGGGAATGGTTTGTTAAGCATATTGTAGTTGATAGGAGAAACGGCGATGACAGAAGTCCAAAGGTCACGCGTGTAAATCTATAAGTTTGAATGTTTTCCTGGCAAGGGAGACTCGTTATGATTCTGTAGCCAAAGGAAACGTGTTGCATCTCTATAAACTTCGTCAAAGTCCGTATCCGTAGGAAAGCTTTTTCAAAATCCGTGATCACTGCGATTCGCATGTCATAATCAATCCGAACCAAAGCAGAAGCCCTGCAAACTCGGAAATGGGC